TCAACTAGAAGACCTGCAGAAGCAATTAGGCTGAAGAATGATGAGCAGCACATTGCCAGTGCCTTGCTTTCTCTGTACACCCGGAGGGTGCTGCTAGGTCCTTGACACCAACATGGACGGTGATTAGTCTTTCCCCAGCCTCATGGGATATCAGGACATTGCTCAGCTTGATTTTTATCTAGGCAGTTGGCTTCACTTTGGTAATACAGGGAGGGAAAAGATGTTCTCAGAGATCAGAGATTGTTCATTGGCCATTTCCATTGATAATTTCTCAAATTCAGTGAGACTGAGAGAGATCACATAACCTGTCTCTAGTTTCACAGATAACAAAACTAGGACTTGAATCTAGGTCCAAGCCTACAGCACGTGCTTTTATTTGTTATGGCAAATTGCCTCTTGGGACCTGCAGGGTACCTGCCATGAAGTCCAGCTCTGCTTTCTTGATGACAAATTTCCTACCCCTCAACTCCCTAATACTAGTAGTGATCGTCCACGGAAGCTGGCACAAAGAAGTCTGATTGGAGCACCAGCCTCTCCCTCCTAGATCAGCCAGCCCAATCCAGAATCCTCTGTTATTAACCCTCATGTCCACTGTCTTCCTATCAGAGTGATGAGATTTTCCTTAGTAGTCTGTAACCAGGCAGATTCTTCTGTTTCCCCAGCAGTAGTTACTGGGATGACTTCAAGTTTACCCATGTTCTCTTTCTCTTGCTCTGAAGCCACTCCCTTAGCGCTTTTGATGCTCAAATTCAACAGACTTAAAAGTGAACCCAGCATACATCAATAATCACATGCTTTTTGAGTTGTTTTTGTTTCTGCAGCCCTCTGCGTGTATGTGACATTATCACCCTTTCCGCTATCTGTACTGAGGCAGGTTGAGTGAGAGTTCTTATGCTTGAACCTCATTGAATCGTGGACATGCTCTTGGCCCTTTTAGCTTCTAAAACCAACAGAGGCTGCTGTTTGGCATTTTGGAATATATCTCAGTGCTTCCAACAAGTCCCCATGGTGGGCAAGTCTGGGGCTGCAAATTAACAAATCTGCTCAGTTAGATCTCATCACTCTCTCTTAAGGATTTGGAAATAGAGATTTATTTAAATTTTGAATTGGCTTAAAAACTGACATTAGAAAGTTATACTTTTAAATTTGACTGACTCGTTTAACATCTGTAATGTAGCATTTGTTTCTTCCTGGAGCTGCAGCCAGATCAGAAGTGGTCTCCTGGCCTTCACCCACTGATGATAATTACTTCTCTTCTCCTGCTCCCTACTGCGCAGGGAGTGGGCTGCCAGGAACACTTCAGCTTCCAGGGTTAGAGATGTGGAGTCTTCTTCTGCAGGCACTGGTCAGAGCTTGCCTGAATGGCCTTAATGTGGTTTCGCAGCCTACCTTACTGAACTTTTAAAGTGGAAGCCATTTAAAAAGCAGCCTTGCCTTGTTGTTATAAAGGTTAAATGCATGCAGAAACTCTCAGAATAAGTATGAGGACAAAATTAGTCACTCCATAAATATTAAGTATGGTTGTTATTATTCCTGTTTATAAATAAGAAGGGATGAGAGGTTGAGATATATTGTCACTTCCCATGTTCACCCCCCTAGGGACTCCTGTGAGGTGAAACTATTTAATGTATTTTGATATTAAAATGATATTTCTCATGGATACTGTGTTTACCTGGTTTCTCTGCCTTACCCTAATGTTTCACAAAGTATTCTATACAAGGGATGCATGGATGCTCACTGTCAATTCTAAGAGAAATTTATTTTAATATATATGAGTGTAAAATGTAACTGACAAATTCATGACTTTTTGGTCATCATTACTTTGTATGAAGTTGCTATAAAAATGTAAGCTGGAATTATATACACACATACATAGGGTAATAATAGGTTTATATGCATATGGCAAACATTTCATAGGGTTTATGTTTTTATTGCATCCTCATTTAGTCTTATGAGGCATGTATCATAATTCTCCATGTTTAACAGACGATGAAATTGAGGTTTAAATTGGCCGTCATTTTCAAAGTCTCTCTTAGACTATAGATCTAGGATTCAAAGTATATAATCTTTACTGGCTATTATGCTTCAGCTGAGATACTTTATCACTTCCCTTCTCAAGAATACTTCCCCCCCAAATTATATTAATTTGTATTGTCTTCTCTATAAAATTAAGATATATTTGTTGCAGAAATTTTAAGAAATATGAAGTTTTTATTGCAGCAAGAGCATTCAACATGAGTGATCCTCTTAACAATTTTTAGTGTACCATGTAGTATCGTTACCTAGAAACACATGTACAGCAGATCCGTATTTTTGTCACAGCCCTTTGAATAAGACAGGTCAAATAAGCAACCAGAGATGTTGAGAAATTGGCTGGAACCACAGAAAGTATAAGCATAGCAGAATCTTGGCCTGCGGGTCCCTTCCTCTAAACCATGGTGCAGCACGCCACTGGCCCTGGCAAGCTTCCCCTTCTTTTACAAGTTAAAGTAATGCCCCCGCCCCCCAGAGAACCATTGGAAGCCACCTGAGTTTAACATTGCCGTAAGCTTCTCCCTATCGGGGAGCAGAGTCTGGAGGCTGTGGCCTGGGCTCCATTCCCAGGGTGGCAGCAGCATTGACTCCGAATCTGCTTTGGCTTCTTCTGAGAGCTCAGGATTCTGTCTACATAAATGCACACACACAAACACAGCCAGCTGATTTAATTAAACGCCTTCTCAACTCCAGTCATGAGTGCGGACAAAGAAGGGAAGCTCTACCAAATTATCAGTGTTTGACTCTGTTGCTTTTCAGCTGGTTGCTTGGGGATCTTTCTGGCTTGTGGTTTTCTTCAGTAGTGACTTGAAGGGAAGAGAGGTTAGACTGTAAATTAGGCAGCCCTGGTAAATTATGTGAGTGCTCATGGGAAACAGATGCCATGTAAATGGAGTTTCACTATTGCTACCACAATATAGGTTTTTCTAAAGCCATTCATAGCAATCTACAATTCTGTGAAGTTGTATCTTAGGTTTCAGAAACTATGCCCTTTCCCCACCTCTGCTTTGCAGCAGTGCTGCAGGAACCCACGTGCCTCCTTTGGGCATTTTGTAGAAAACAGCAACAAGAGACTATGTGAACTTTGACCCCAGGGCCACAGCTTAGCTGGAAGTTTGAAGCTGTCTAGACTTTTCCCATTTTAATAAGCATATTCTGGTCCCAGGTGCATGCTAAAGATTGTTTCCTTCTGATGCTTATTCCCAGAAGATGTTGTCAGTAAAACAGGTAACACAAATAAAATTCATTTCTTCTTAGAATCTGGTGGTTTGAGGAAAGGGCTGATAGGAAACCACAAGTCTCCTGGTGGATTTTGGAGATGATTTTTACTGTGTGGTACAGTTTATTGGTGAGTAAGTCTTATTCCTATTATTCCGCAGGGCTCCTCCCAAACTGCAGCCTAGGTACTGCCCTCACCATGTCTATTTCTGACCAGCTTCGGCTGCTGACAGAATGGGCTGCAAAGGCACAAAAAGAGGTGCTCTCTACCCTCCTGGTGTATAGCCCACCATGGAGAAGTCAACTGAAAACACAGGTGCATCTACCCTGACCTTTGATGTTACACAAAGCAAATTACATTTCAAGTTCTGGAGGACAAGGAACCATTCTAAATCTGATTAAGATTCTTCTGATACTAAATTGTGATAAATGTTTATTTTGGAAAAGCAAATTGTCAGTATTTTCTGGTCCTGCTTATTTACCCAGAAAATCTTTGTTTTCCACTATCTTAACAGAAGTACCCTAGACATAAGAGAAAGCCTTAAATTGTCCTGACTTGTTTGCTGGGCAAAAGTTGTGATTATTTGGGTTACTCCTTGAATAACTCCGTCAAGAGCCCAGGAGGGAGGGAGCCTCATTCTGGCCACTCTGAGTGTCCTAACGTCTCTCTGGTGATACACCCCATTTGCCTACGCTAATCTCCACAGCACAGGAGTACCCAGCTTTTGACCTGACCCTGGAATGGGGAGCTAATGAGCTAATTTTTTTTTATCTTTTGTTTTTTGTGATGAAATCTTGCTGTGTAGTACTACTTGGCTTGATCTCACTACGTGAACTCCAACTTGAACTCCTCCCGCCTCAGCCTCTGGCATGTTGAGATGACAGATACGCACCACCACACCCTACTTCTAATGAGCTAACTTTCAGGAGGAATGATAATTCAGGCACTAACCTGGGTTGCTGGACAGTTCTTTGGAGGAGGTTTTAGTGTTTTGTTTTGTCTAAAATAAAATGTTACATAACACTTGGAGGAAAAAATAGAATTATTCCTAATTCTGCCTCCTTTGTAGTTATGTACCCTGTAACCTCTTTGACCTTTTAATACATTTATTTGTGCACATGTACAAATGCTTTTTATGTAACATGGATCATTGTTATTTTGTTTGGGAACCTGTGGTTTCCATGTAGAATTTCTTAACTTCATTTCATACTGATGAGCAAGGTTCTCCATCCTTTTTGAGGACTGCTGGAAAACTTTCTCCCTGGAGTGACTCCTGTCTCATCTCCGTTCTTCTGTTCCTCTCGTCCTTCCCACTTTCTTCTCTCCCTGCCTTCACTGCTAATTCTTTTCCTTTTCTTCCTCATAATTTATAATCTTTTGCTCCAGCTCTATTTTAGATTGTTTTCCTTTTATTCACTGTTACATTTTCAATATGTTGGAGGCCATATTACGGATACTATGAAATAAAGAGGATTTTTATAGTTTCGGGCTCTGCTGATGGAAGAACTTACGTACACTGAAATAATTTGTTTCCATTTTTTGTTGTTGGCAGCTTCGTAATATTTTTTATCCAGATTCCATGAGACCAGACATGACAGTGTTTTTGAAAGCTTTTTATATCCCCAGAAGGAAGAAATGACAAAGAGGCAAGCCATTATAATGAATGTTTATGATCTTTATTTAGGAACATGACAGTCTCAAGCCCTCTGTCACTTCTGAGTCTTGATCATTTATCTTGCTTCCCCAGACCCCATGACAGCCCACAAAGATGGGCAAAGTGAAGCCGACAGCACACCAGAGGACCTGTCTGTCGGGCCCAGCAGGCTGCTCTATCATATCACTGACGGCGATAACCCACTGCTGTCACCGCGCTGCTCCATCTTCAGCCAAAGCCAGAGATTCAACTTAGACCCTGAGTCGGCGCCTTCTCCACCCAGCACTCAGCAGTTCATGATGTGAGAAAACCTTATTTTATTATCTTCATTTCATGTGCTTTTCAGATACTACATAGACAACCTACAATGAAATATCTCTGAAGTAGTGCAAACACATCTGCCGTACGCCACTGTAAGACCCGAATAATAAGGCAGAGAGTGGTGTACTTCCTAGTTGGGAATCCTGTTTCAGCATTTAATGCCACAAGAGGTGATGGTCATGAGAGAATGGCTACTCCAAGCACTTATGTGACTTTGGTGAGGCGACCATAACCCTAAGTATTGTATATGCAAATGTCACGAGTATTGCTCGCAGTTAGCTCAGCATTTTTCCATGTCCAACAACGGACTCACTGGGTGGATTATGAGAACACTAGAGAATTGTCCTTCTCAATTTAGACTTAGAGTCTAGAAAAATGGTGACTTATAATAGCTATCTTTCTAACTAAATAGCGATCTCTCTATGTATTTGTGTATCATCTACCTATATCTCAAATCAGGTTCCGACTCTCCTACACACTCCATTTAGAATTTGCACTTAGGGTTAGAATGAGTGTGAACTATGTGTTCTTTCTATTGAAAGCCATGAGTAAAGGGGTTGAGAATCTACAGATAAAATTATGCCTAGGGAATCCCCAGTTTCTCCTTCCTAACTCACACCGTTATTCTTGAATTTATGCAAGTCTGCATTCTTTGACTGTGCACTGATGGAACTGTGGGAGTTAGTGAATTATTATCATGTAAAGTGTGTGTCCTGTGAGGCACTTTCTCTGGAGAAGGTGCCATTTGTTTTATCACATTTGAAAAGGCTGTGTCAAGAAAAGTTAACTACTTTAAAGTCTTCTTGAGAATGTCGAGGGGCCTGGCTTGTACCACCTATTGAAGGTAACACTTCAGCGGGCCAGTCTCTTCAGAGTCTTAAACTGGCCCCTCTCACCTGTGAGAAATAAATATCCTGCACTAATATTTTGATACTTATATATTAAAGTCCCTGATGACACCCTGCCCATAACGCAGTGCTGAAGTCAGGTAAAGTAAGGTGTCTCCTCTGAAGAGCAGATGCTACCCCGGTAGACTCATCTGTTACTGGGCTACCCCGCAGACTCTTCAAACCATCCTGGTTTACAGACCAAACAGCAGGATTTGCCACAAGATTATTATTCTTAGTGTCCTCTCCCTCCCGTACTCATGCAGGCCCCGAAGTTCTTCCCGGAGCAGCTGTGGTGACAGCAAGGAACCGCAGACAATTACCCAGCTCACCAAGCACATCCAGAGTCTCAAGCGGAAAATTCGGAAATTTGAAGAAAAGTTTGAGCAAGAAAAGAAGTATCGGGTAAGGACTCTAGGGTTTCATGTGAAAGCAGATTATGTCAGAGGTGTGTGGATTTTCTTTTCTTCTTGAGTAAAGAAGAAAAGCAGGGAACAATTCTTTTGGCAGGGAACAGTTCTTTTCCCACTGTCCAAACAAGCACCTATCACTGATTGAGTTCCAATCCTGAGTCTGTCTTGTTCTCACATTCTGTCAGTTTATCTCTACTGAGGTATTTCCTAGTAATGGGGTAGAACTCTTACTTACAAACTTATTTGATTATTCATTTTCTTTTTTTCCCTGAGGAATCTTACTGTCACTAGTTTTTCTAGGACCAAAGTTTGGAAAGCTATTAAATGATGGTCTCTCTTCTCTAACCTTTTCCCCCTTGCATTTTGATGAAGACCTCATGGGCAGAATCTCTCATGTGGAGTGTAATAAGGGAGAATCAGTTTCTCCGATGTTAAAGTATTTACTGGTTGATGAGTGGAGGTAATTCTTAAGTGACATGCATTTAGGCTGTGCATAAGAACACACTGACACAGCCTTTCCCATCAGAGAGACACCAGTCTTTGAGCTGGTTCTGCAGTCCTGCACACTTGTTAACAGTGGGGTCTTCGGTAAGTGCAGTGATGCCCAATACTACTTTTATTTATTTTCTCTTGTGATCACGGCATAAAGAAAAATTATACTCATGTAGAATTGCACAAAGATATTAGGTCTCTGGCAGAGGGCCCAGAACAGCTTGTTATTAGAATAAAAAAGAACAAGGAATAATCTCTCATACATCTTGAAATATTTAAAGGCTCACTAAGCCCTCGGTACAGAGACAATCAGAAAGTTCTTGTGAGCTGTGATAAGTTAAGGGGATAGCTGATAGTTGGCACCATTCCACTCCTACCTTTTTTCTGTCCCATGTGGCCTGAAGTTCACCAAATAAATGGTTCCAAGGAGTGCTTTTTAGCTTTGCAAAATGAAGTAAAAAATCAGATTGACTTTCAAGACAACCTCAGAGTGCTGAAGATTTTTCTCTTCCCTAAAGTCAGGCTGTCCTAGCTATTCACTGTCTTTTATAGAGCAGGAGGGAGCTGAGCTCTACACATTATTGGTCTAGGCCTTTATTTTGTAGACTTGGATGCTGAGGCCCAGTGCAGACTTTTCACTTGCCAAGGGTAGCTGTGCTCTGTCTGCTCAGTCTGAAGCAGTGAGTTAAAGAGGAGTACGTTTTATAGTGAGAAGTGGAAGTAATTCTTAAGTGCCTATCTATTGAAAACTTCAAATATTCTGAGAGAAGCTGAATTCCAATTTGTTGCTGGTGTGTTATTAGATCTGTGATACCCTCACTTTGGACCCTTCCAGTAACAAGTCAGGCCTTCGTCACTGGCCTGTTAACACTTCCCACCTGGCAGTTACGGAGTCACATTTTTCGGGATTTGAACCCAGCATAGACTAGATTTAGGAACACCGTAACTATGGACTTGCTACTCCGTGTTTCTAAATCTGTTTGTCTATTTGGAAAGTGGAGTTAAAATCAGTAATGATTTCAGTTTGAACATATTAAACAGGAGCATGAGTGTATACCTTACTTCAGCATTTGTCTGAATAACTTTATAATCTATTTGAGCAATATTTGTATAAGCTATTCCATGGTAGTCTCTGCCTTGTCAGAAACTGAAAGGAAATTTTCGACCTGTGGCCACAGGTCCTGTATTATTTCTCTCAAGTATAACTGCCACCCAGCTGGTACCCCTTTCAGAAAGGAATTTCCTGGCTTTGTATAGAGAACATTTAAAGCTAGAGCAGAAAGATGAAGACAGACAGAGCGACAGACAAACACACACATACTCATATGCAGAAAGACAAATACGGGGACAAAGAGGGAAAAGAGGTTCATATTTATCACTACCTCCATGTGTTTAAGAGTCCGTGATGTAAACAGAGCTTTACACGTCCTAGGAAGCAGGGCTTCCCCTTGCCCTTTCTGTCTAAGTGCCAGGAAGTAGCTAGAGGTTTGACATGTCAGTGGGTTTGAATTACTTGCTATGTGTAAGTTTTCCCTTTCTGGCAACTTGACTGTGGAACTCATAGCACCCACTGCTAATTTTTTAATCTAAGCTCCTGCTGGTCTTCTGTATTATTCTGGTGTCTGTGCATTTCTTTTGAATGTAAACATTTTATATGCATATCCCAAACTGTGCTTATTCTCTACAACTGACAAATTTGATTACTGCGCTCATGTGCTTAGAAATGTCTGCCTCAGTCACATGTCTACTTTCAGTTGGAATCAGAAAAGGTTAGAATTTAAAAGGATCAGTCAGTCTTTTTTCTTATCAGACGAGTAAAGAAAGTGAGGCCCAGAGAATGGAAGTGAATGATCTAAAACCACACAGCAAAGAATTAATCTAGTCAGGACAGCTCGGGTCTTTGCATTACCCACCCAGAAATCTTTCTAATATGTCTTATGAACTGTCTTTGCAGACCATGTATCTGATCCTTTGGTATCTTCAGTTACAAGGTTTAGGTGCCCCATATTAATTTCATTGAAAAACCTAACTACACAAATTCTAGGTGTCTGACTGTTGCAGTCAATTAATCCAAAGTATTTCAGTTCAAAATGAAAAGGCTTGAAGTTTCCTGGGTTGTATATGAAAACTTTCACTTGATTTGAGAGCTGCTATCCATGCAAGCTTGATTTAATCTGTTTCAAAAGCTCTCCTAAGCATTAAGAAATAAAACGTTCATTTCTGAAACCGATTTCAGGATGTAAATTACTTTGTCAGAAAATTCAGCCCAAATTTCTCTGAAATCTTGTATGGAGGAATGAAAGCTCATTTCTATGTTAGTCACTGGCTTAGGGCTTTAAAGTTTTTAAAAATGTTCCTTGTTTTTACCATATTGAAAAATAGAGTTAGCTATGTGGATCAGCTCTAGTAAATCACTATTCAGCAGGATGTATTCTTAGATTGGAGTGGAAAATTCTGAGGACTCTGAGAAAACAAATGTAAAATACTTACTTCCCACATAACCAGACTGATACCCAAAGCCAGGAAATCAGCACAGCACATCATTCTAGTAGAATATAGGTAGGACCAGACTGCGTCATCTTTTGGAGGTGGGTAAGAGTTAACCATGCCCACTGTCCATGGTTCTGAAATGAAGGCGGCTTCATGGAAACCATAGTCTACTGTCCAACTTTCCCTAGTCATTAGTTTTTCCCATCGTGATTTTAAAATGTGTGGTTTTTACATTGCTTTAGAATTGATGATCTTGAAATGCAAGTACTGTTTTTTCCTTCAAGCATGAACTTATTTTCCATCTTCCTATGCCTCCCACTCATGATACACAGATTGAGTGGAAACCCTGAAAAATTACAAACCCCTATATTTAGTCACTAAAAATACACATATTTAAGGATATTTTGTTTACAATCATGTCATCTTGATTATTATTGTAAAATTCCTTATATATCCTATGAGTAACCATTAGTATCAAACCTGCATTTAAGTTACTGTGTCCTTACCTGTCTGTGGGAATAGGGGGTAACTGTATTTGGCTACACTTCTCCCCATTTTTCTGTAGAAAGTTCACTTTTGTGTCAAGTGGATAGGCACAGTGGCACATGCATATAATTGCAGCTAATTGGGAGGCTAGTGCAGGAGACCAGCATTGAGACCAGTCTGGGCAACATAGCAAAACCCCATCTTGAAGAAAAGGAGGGGAGATCAACTGAAAGATTTGTATTGATAGATGCATTTCCTTCTAAAATTAATGGGTATTCTTTTTGCCATATCCAGGGTGTGGCTAGCTCCCTGGGAACATCCATGCCCCTCCATGTGTATTTGTTGCTGAAGACACAGTCAGTATTCTTTTGAAGGTCTGGTGGTCACACTGTTTGGACTACTACTTCTGCAGCAAAAACAAAAACAGTACTAGTAATGAATGTAATGCTTGCTAACAATTCAACAGTGGCTAGCATACACCTGGAACTATTTTCTAGTGCTTCGTAGACGTTAAATAATCCTTCATAAAACCCGATGAGGGAGATGCTTTCATCATTCTCACAGAGTAGGTAAAACTATGAAATACAGAGAAGCTAAATAAATTGCCCAAGGTCACACTCATGTGATGGTTTCATTTTAATACTAGCTCCCTTAGCATGTTAAGTCTATAAACAATGAAGGATTAGAAACCTGCTATCTCCTTGACAGACTGACTTGATTCTCAGCACTCCTGTCAGGTTTTAGAGACACGGGAGTCTCCTTTCTTCAGCTTGGAGGATATGCCTGTTAGGAGCTAAATGTTCCAGTTTGTCAGCTTTTCTCCAGCAGGTTATGGTCATAAGCCATGTATGAGAACCACAGGCGAGGTAGGAAGCATTGATTTGTTTTATCATTGCTCTGAGAGTAGGTTTGGGGTGTGGGGTGTGGGGTGTGGATGGCCTGCAGGGCAGTTGAGGGGTTACATTGTGGGGGGTGCTGGCATGGTTCGGACTATACAAAAATATTGGGTGACCAAGCATGTTTAGGAATAATGCCCATGACAAGGATAAAACAGTGGAGAAAGTCAAGTGTATCTGATGTTTTCCAGAAGTAACTCCATCAGCTGGAGTTTCATGCTGGTATGCCTCTCCCAGAATTGTGTGTTCTTCAGCTGTGTGGCTTGGCTATTTAAAAATTTTATTTTTCCTTTTCTTTCTTTCTTACCCTCCTTTTCCCTTCCTACCCGTTCTTTCTTCTCCATTTTCCCCTCCCTCCTCGGTAGCCTTCACATGGTGACAAGACTTCTAATCCTGAAGTCCTGAAATGGATGAACGATTTGGCTAAAGGTCGTAAACAGCTCAAAGGTAAATGCCAGTGAAAGGTCTCTTTTTCTCAGAAAAGATGCGGTTAAAATAGTATCATCATCTGCCCCAGGGCGTTCTGACTCATTTCCACTTGTGCCCTCTTAAACTCAATTTCCTGCTGAGACTGGAGGCCCCACTTAACACAAATGGCTGTGGGTCACTTTCATTGTTCAGCCCCTCTTGATAAACCTCCTTACACTGAGACTGAGAACCTCCAACCTCCAAGTGGAATGATTCACTCAAACCTAGGGACATTTCAACCCGTGGGCCTTTAATCTCTCTGTTGGATCTGTAGATGGGAGGAACAAAGGGGCCCGAGAAATCATTTACTTCGCATCTCCCCTTGCACAGGTGAGGACATTTGTGGCCAGAAAGAGAGGTTACCTAGCTTGGAGGTGGCATGCTGAGTATAACTCTTGTTTCTCCTGCATCTCTGGCTAGTTCTTTACTTTTTCTGTACCTCCCTACAAATGGTGTGTTAATTAACTCTGAAATACATTTTAAAGGACAAACATTATTTACCAATAAAATTGTTTTCTTCTTCCATCTACATTCTAATTTCAATTCTCAGAGACATGGGAATTTTTCCAACTTTCTGGAAGGATAATGATTAAGAATTACAAAGGAATGCTAATTAGAAAGAATATTAATTCAGTGGTATTAAAATGTAATGATGTAGTACATTTATAAAATACAAAGTGTTTAAATATCAAGCCAGAGTCTAACTAAAAAAAAAAACAGAGCAAATGAGCTATGTAACTGAAAAATCAATATAAATGACCTCAAACGACCAGTCTCCTAGCATTTTCTGATACGTAATTCACTGACAAATCCCAAGTGGGTTTTTAAAATTTTAATTATCTAAGTTTATATGAGCCACATTGCAATACAGGTGATTCCTAGATTGTAAAAGCTGACATTAGACAAAACTGTGAAACCTGTCAAGTTGGGGGATGGTGTTTTCATCTTCCCTTTCCCACCCTATCCTGTATTTGCTTAGGTATCTGCATGTATAATGCCTTCCAAAAGTACTGTATTTCCATAGGGGCTGTTGATATACTCACAACTTTCTAAACTTACATCAATAAATCTTTTGAGTGTAGAATTTCAGGTGCTACCATAGGTGACAGATGGAAATTCTAGGTTCGGTATCACTGGTCTTCCTCCAGATCTCTTCCACTGAAATCTAAACAGATTTCCTACTATGCATGCTCCTCCACTTCCATGAGGATCCTGGTCTCTAGGCCCCCATTTTCATGCTTGATTGGGTGCTTATGATATGGTCGGGGGTTGTTGAGCCTGCCCTTGTCCAATGGAAAGTCATTAGCATTGTTCATGTCACCAACGAACACTGGCATTGGTGGAGAGAATGCCTGAGAGGTTCTCTGTTTTTATTAGGTCTAGTGAGCCTTTTCTGCTCATGGTAATTCATGGTGTTTCTCTTAGAACTAAAGCTGAAGCTATCAGAAGAACAAGGGAGTGCTCCTCCCAAAGGCCCTCTGAGAAACCTGTCCTGTGAGCAGCCCACAGTCCCAAGAGAAAATGGGAAGCCAGAAGCTACAGGCCCTGAGCCAAGCTCCTCTGGAGAGACTTCAGATGCTGTGTTGACGTGCCTACAGGAGAACAGAGAGCACTTCCCTCCCCAGGAGGATGCTAAGGTACACCTCACCACAGTGTCATGGGACCCCAGCATTCCCTCAGTGCCAGGGAGATCAGGCTTTCCACCGGTCCGTTGGAGCACTTTGTCACCACATAAACATCTTCAGGAAAATGGCTCCAAATCTCAGTCAGATGAGTTCCTGGTGGGACCTACGGACAGGGCCTCATGATTCTGTGTTTTGATCGGTTCTGGTGATGACAGTGTGTCATGTTTATAGAAATGAAATGGCAAGGGCACAGAGATATGTCCTGTCCCTTTGTTCCACAATTTTCACTCCCCTATCACACTATAATGTTTGTACATATTAGGTACTGAATATGTTTGCTGAATGAATAGATGAATGGACAGATGAATGAACAAATTGATACATTAAATTTTGGAATGAAGTCTTTGTCATGAAGTCTTCTTGAGAATGATGCATTTGCCTATTCTGCTGTACATTACTTGGTCTTAGAAATATGGCAACTTATATCAAATCCTGAAGGCTCACATTATGCTACTGGGTTAGTGCTTTACTTCGGGACTTGTAGGATACAAAAGGAAATGGGCCTATGGCCACCTCTATCACTATGAAACACATTTAAACTTAAAGAAGCAACCAGTAAATGTTGTGAATAGTGGCTATAAGGTTGGTACCCATGTGGGCAAACTGTTTCTTCCCCCGCCCAAGATGCTAGACTTTTAGGATAGCCAGGGGATAACTTCTGTGTATACACTCATATGCCCAAACATTGCTGTTTTTCATCCCTTAATACTTTGATGGTATTTCATATGTTGTAGTTACCTTGCCTATATGTGCAAAAGCATCTTCATCAATAACCAAGTCCTTATTCTATGCTATTTATTTATCAGGGCAGTGAGTAGAGCATTGGAATTAGCAGACATAGTACAGATCTCAGTGCTTGACTAGCTACTTCCTAATCCTGCCCACTTCTCAGGACATGGTGTTTCAAGTGCACAAACCAGGACAGTCCTAGGCAAAGTGGGGTAGTTGGTTACCCTATTCCTCAAAGATTTTAAATCTAATGTGTCCCAAGAAAAACCTCTTAAGTTGTTATTACACTCGCAAACCTGTTCCTCTGTAGTTTCCATGGTGTCAGTAAATGGACTCATCACCACTGAGGATTTCCTTTTCTTCTCTTTATCCCATCCAGCACTTAAATGCATTCTTTGGACTTTAACTAAAATACTGTTTGCTTTAAGTAAATCCAGTACTTTCCCTCTCCAGTGCCACTGTGATAATCAGCTGGCCATTTCATTTCCTTTTCTACACTTTTGCCCTATGATTTAATCACACAGGAATCAAAGATCTTCTGATGTGAATCATCTCATATCACTTTTCTGCTCACAACCACTTGGCGACATCTCTCCGTGCAGCCTAACAGGCCCTATATGATGAGTCCCAGTCTAGCTTTTGACTGCATCTCACAGCATGCTGTGCTCCTCAGACCTAAGTAAGAATCCCAAGTACACAGAAAGCTCTTCCTTCTCTCGAGGCATTCAGGCATGCAATTCTTTCTGGAGTGCTTTTTGTTGTGGTGCTCTGGGACTGCCAATTTTATCCACTGGCCTTCCCAATCACTCTTTCTAAAGAAGAAAATTTCCCATTGTTTCCTCAAATTTCACCTGTTTAATTTCCTTCATGGTGCTTGTCAAAATCTCTAATGATTTTGTTTATTATTTCTTGTATCTCAACTCCCAGGAGAGCTCCATGACAGTGACCCTGCCATGACTTGTTTTTTTATGCCTAGAAACCTAACATCTTTTTTGCAATTCAACAACTATTCACAGTCACCAGGCATCTCCTTTATTGTCACAATGATTATATAAGTATTGTCTGTATTCTATCTGTGAATGAATTTCAGAGATGAGTTCAATTTGCTGCCTCTGGCCCAGGCAAAGTGAGGTGGGGGCTCTTTCTGAGAAACATAAATAAGAGTGTGAGGTTTGGATGGAAATCTCTGAGTGCTTTAGAAATCCTCCTAGTATAAATGGCAATTATTTCTATTATTTTCAATCAACAAGTATCTGATATCCCCTCAGCTAAAACTGGTAGCTCTGCAAAAGTTAGAGTGCTTTAAATAGGGAACAGTTGTAGTAGACTATGAATGCTTCAATGTACTAAGCTGAAGTACTGTTTCGGGGAATACTTACACAGTACTTACATAGTCAGCCATAAGAGGGGAATCCAGAGGCCACAACAGAAAGGAAATATTATATATTTCCGAGGCAGCTGGTCTTATTCCTGCTTCCTACATGCACTGAGAAGTATTTCAGAGCATCTCATTAGATCCCATAACTTTAAGCTCAAATTGACAGATGACTTTCATTTGAGAACCTTGAGTACCGCTAGAAGTGCAGTAAGTATTAAAACTTCTATGCTGAAGAATGACTTATTTTCAGGAAAGACTTTTATTCTGCTGCTTTCTGAAATTTTTGCAGTGATGCTTAGTTGGGTCCATACTAAAGCTGATAAATATCCTAAAGCATTACCTTTTCCTTTCATCTGTGGATCTTTTTAGAGGTAATCACTTCTGCTCACAGGGCATTGTTGTACACTGGAAACAAGTGAATTCTCTCTCCATAATTCTACATGTTGCTGTATGCAAGATGTATCTAACTTTTGATTTTTGTTCTGTGAATGGAAAAAACCATGTTGAGTAGCTTAAAACAGCCAGGGAGAACCAGCCACAGTATGAATGGGTTATCATATTTTCAAGGTAAGTATAAGCAGATAAATCCCAAAAGATACTCATTATTACTTCCTGTTATTTTTCTTTTCTGGGTATTGAACACAGAATGTTCAAGTAAAACCAAGAGGAGATTAAAGAAGATAGAACTTAAAAAGAATATAATTTGAAATGACCTGTTAACAGCTTGACAACTTCCCCATAGAAAAACTGCTAGCCCCCTATTCTAGGTCATCTGAATGATCAAGGTTTGGCATAATAGCCCGCAAACAACTGCATTTCCAAGACAGAATGGCTACTGAGTGGCCATTCTTCAGGATCCCAGTCAGAAAGTGTTTGGGGAAAACATTGCCATAACTCCAACACTTTTACGATGTGTTTATTTTCATTTCTCCCCATAGACCTGTTGCCATGTATTCTTTCTGAGTAAACCACAGGAACTTATAAATACAATCATACCCTCTAATCATTCCCATAAATGAACTCTCTCTTAAGGACAGAAAACTGACGTTCTCTCCTCCATACAGTGAGTGACATGAAACTATTGCTCTTTAGTTTTTGAGATCACAAGCTTTCTCTGTATTTATGAAACAGATCTGGGCTGATCACTGAATATTCATGTTTTTCTTTGGAGACTGTGCGTTAGTAATAATCCTAGGAGGAAAACCATGGCATAAGCAGGGTGAAAGGGGAGTCCATCCATTGTACTTATTGCCTAATTTTAGCGTGGGTCTGTGGAAGATTCTTTTCTAAAATGGAAGTCATCATCTAGCTTCCCTTTTGGTCACTCTTTTTCTCATGTAGGATTAATTCTAGTTTTTTAGAATCTAGGGAATATACTAAACACTAAAATCAAATTTCTAAGGAGAAACCATTAATGATTAAGGGCATAATTTTCTGAGGTTTTTCTATGAAATATAAGTCCCAAAGAGATATTGAAAAATAAACACATTATTTCAATGTTTTCTGAATGTTGTTTTTTTCTTCCATGCCTATTAAAATCCCATGGGATACATTTTGATAAGACTTGTTTTTTATGGAAAGATGTGTCATGCTACAGAAATGTTTAAGGAACAGTTCTGTTCAGAAATTAAAGGTTCTTATAGTTATTTAGCCTATATTTTTAAATGGTTTTATATTTATATTTAGTCTATATTTAAATGGCTTTTACAGATAGGGGACTTCCTACTAAAAATAAAACTGTAAGAGCCTTAGGTTATAGATGGTACAATACATATAAAGATTATTAAAAATTAGGATCCTTTTTGCCTATAACTTATGTTGGTAAATTGTTGGTAGAGATGGGGATGTATAGGTCCTGTGAGAATTAAAAAGTATGTGATACAGTTTTGGTCCTCCAGAAATTTTTAATGTAACAGTGAAGTTCCAAATAATGAGATAGAGAATTTCAGAGAAGACAGAGTTCAGTATGGTACACAATGGTTCGCAGTTCAGGTAGAAATATCAGCATGAGTAGAACTGGCAAGCTTAATACTTGCTTATGACATTTTCTTTTCCCTCAAGAGTCTCTGTGGACCGTTTGGAAGACACAGCTATTTAGCATTCTTGGGTGTGTACTTTTAGAAAGATACTTGGGAGATGTTATGAGCTATTTCTACCATTCCATTCCCACTACCTGCTGAGTGCAAACCATTGGCCTATAATTACAGGGAAACTGTTTATAGGAAATATGTAGCAAATTAATAGGGGCAACACAGTGGTACCGTGGGGGGAGAAAAATCAAAGAAAAGAAGAGGCGTCTGGTCACTTTGGATAGGAAAGTAGTGAAGTAGACAAACAGACACCTATTTAAATTTTAGTCAACAGTGTGACCTATAGATAATAGTGTATAGGGATGAACCACTTAACAGACGGGTACAAAACCCATTGGTATACCAGGAGGTTATAAGTTTTTTTTTTAGTTTACAGGAACATAGAGAGATATTGAGATAGCTACCTTTGGACCAACCTGGAAGGAACTGTATAATTTTAACCCTGCTGTCTGGGTAGGAAAGGGAAGATTCAGGAAAGTTAAACGTTTTGCACAAAGTAATAGTTTATATCAGAGCTAACAAGTAAGCTAGTATATAACCCACGCAGGCAATGATGCAGACATGTACACAACTGGTATTTGTGACTGTGATGGCGTTCCAGATAAAATAGATATTTTGGAAGAAAAACTAATGGACTTTGAGCACTCATTGGTTTAGAAATGCTCAAAGGAGAGTTTTCATACTATTTGTGCCTCACAGAATCCTCCAGAAAGCCTTAAAACTCACCTTTCCTGGCTTGGATCTATCCTTTAAGAAATTTTTCCTAGAAAAATTGGCATGTACAATGCACACAGTACCATCTGAGTTTCCTTTTCCCAATTACTGTTGCATGTTATAGCACTATAATCCTATATTTAGAGGCTTTAAGACCTTTTATTTTGCCTGCTAAGAATACTGACGTGTTTTCATTCTTGTCTGAGAAAGGAACAATAATCCATCTCATGTTTTTCAGGCAACTAAGCAAGACAAGAACCTCATAAAGCCCCTCTATGATCGATACAGAATTATCAAGCAAATCTTGTCAACACCTTCTCTTATACCAACAATTGTAAGTCAGGATAATTGCATTAAGTGGTAACCTGCTTTGTATTGATGTCTAGTTAGCACAATGTCGTAGTTAGCATTATGAGAATTATAAAATAACCTTCTTGACCATGTGTATTACTAACACCACCAGTTGGTATTTCAAAAAGTAGAAAATTGGCCTTTCCTTGCCCCAGTAACTGGCAATTAGAACTATTGTGAAACAAATATGTAGCACTTCTACATTTGAGTCTTGTTTTAAAATATGCAGTCAGTACCCATTGAGGAGAAGAATGACAGATTTCAGCTTGGTCTCATCTAATCTGTAACACAGCTAGACAAACATAGAACCTCTTGATTTTGTGAATGTTGGTTGATTTTTCTCCTTTAATAAGAAAATTGACCATATATTCCTTGATATAATGTAACATTTGTTTTTGGTATCATATGATCACACTGTAAATCTATGAATAGATTTATTCCAATAGAAAATCAGATTACTGAAATGGGTTAAGCTACTTTTAATAAAGAATGATTTATGGGACTATAGAACTAGAAAAATACCACGAATCCTATTCCATCAGTATCAAAATGGCCACCTGTTTAAGACAGCAACATAAAAAGGAATAAATATTAAATATAAATTGAATATTTTAATAAATGTATACTTGTGTATTTTAAAAGATATTATGAGAATAATATATTTCATAGATTTGAAAATTTCCCATGAGAAAGCATAATTTAAAGTGGAATAGGTTTTTCAGATTTCCTTATAATAAAATCATTTGATTGTGATAATTATCAAGACAAGTTAAGGTGTAAACCTACTTTGATTTGGCTTCAAAGAGCTCTTCTGGGGGCTGGGGATTTAGCTCAGCGGCAAAGCGCCTGCCTGGCAAGCGCAAGGTCATGAGTTCGGTTCCCGGTAACAGAGGAAAAAAAAAAAAAAAGAGCTCTTCTTTGAATTACTGAAGTTTGTAATTACCCTGTATATCTGAAAGTCCTGCACTGGGACCTGACTTGGAATATTCTGCATGACAAAGTCTCTGTAATCCATCTGATTTTAACCCACTACATCGGTATAAAGCTGCAACCCAGAAGATCTGTATGAGAGGAGGAAAGACTGGACAGTACACTTCCATGCCTTTTTTGGCCCACCAAGTACAAATGAACTTGCTCAGCATTCGAGCTCAACACTGGTGTATCTTTGAGCATTAACTTCTGTAGTTTTTCTCAGTACAACTGAGAAAGGGCTCGTGGTTACTTCCATCCTGTTTCTCAGTAGGCACAGAGTATCTTACTGGTGCTCATGGTATCTACTTGTGGTTCTTCTCCCGTTCCTCTTACTTGCTGTTCATTCTCAAGAGGTACTTGGCATTGTGTGACTTTACTTAACTCTGCTTGTGATAAGCAGGAGGAAGAGGACTCTGATGAAGACTGTCAACAGGGAAGTCAACCTTTACCAGACCCGGGGTCTCGCCTTCCTGTTGGCGACCACCTCACCTACTCTGAGACAGAGCCTATTAGGGCCCTGATGCCAGATGAAAAGAAAGAAGTGAAACAACCAGCTCTCTCCATGTCTAATTTACATGAGGCTACCATGTGAGTATGAACCCTTAGTGTGGAGTCTCTTTTTAGCACAAGAGTTAGAAAGGTCTGGGGTACCCTGTATGTACATAAAAAGTTTAGAAGAGCTGTTCCTCAGAGGATGGCCCTTGTTCTGAAGTAGTCATTCCTAACTTTGGAAATGAATGGAATCTTATTTAAGAAAATGCTTGTTTCAGAGATTTTTCATATACAGGTTCTAGAATGAAGTGAGCAGGATTTGCAGTAGAACTATAGTTTTTTCGGGGCATTAGTTTTATTCCCAAGCATTTTGCCATTCTTCCCACTCTGTAGATTGAGGGCAGAATCTGCATGAACTTTTTCTTCCTTTTGTGTCTCGTATAGTTAACCCATCACCAAGTACTGATGTGCGTGCCTTCAAAATGCCTGTGCTGCACTTCCATGTGTTCGCATTGTCATTACCCTTCCCGTTCCTTAAAACAGCCTCAGTCCATTTGCTTGTCTGTCCTGTTGTCTTTCCCATGACAGTTTCTTTCGAGGAATTTCCCATGATTAGGGACTGTACCTCATCAGGTTCTGTTAGCCATACTCACTCAAAAGGCTTTTATGATCAGATCACCTTTCTGTCTTAGTATGTTTTTGTTGTTTTTTTTTTTGCTGAACAGATAAATCAGCTTATGATCTCTCCATTGGGCTAGTACTCATTAATGATGAATATTTTCCCTGATATAGGCCTGTACTTCTTGACCATCTCCGAGAAACTAGGGCTGACAAGAAGAGACTAAGGAAAGCCCTAAGAGAATTTGAAGAACAGTTTTTTAAACAAACAGGAAGGTGAGTGTCAGTAGAGATTTCTTAAGCTTGTATTTTCTAGAGAACTACTGTTCCTACTGTTCAGAATGTGCTGTAATGTTTTTGCAGGAACAGTAGTTTTAGAAAAGATGTAAATTATGTCCATACGTGGCTTAGACACAGGACTTGTCCAATGTAACATTCTAATAGTGTTGTTATTAGAGATGTTACATGGGAGGCTATTGCTACAAAGTTTGCTATCAGTCTTTAAGAAATAAAGGATGTACTCTAAATATCCCTAACTTTTCATAATAAATCTTATTATACTGTTGAATTAATCTAATCCCTTAAAAATATTTTTTTAGTCCATATAAACTTTTTAGCTTAGTTACACAAATTGTTCCCTACTTCTTAAATAATAATTCTTCCTTTACTTTATCTCCTTTAAACCTCAGGATCTGGCCCTAATTATTTTATTTCAGGATTTCGTCAAAAGTTTATAGCTATTCTATTTCTTGAATGTTGAGCTATATCCTCTATTTGCCCTCTAATTTTCTGTGTCAACTCAAATCCCCTTACACATTCCATTAGTTTCTGCTAATTGTTAGTATATCATCAACAAAATTATACAATCAAGAGATAAGCGTTGTTGATCCTCTTCTGAAGAAGCAAATCACTAAGCTGCTCGAGCATAAGTTTCTGCTTTTATAAGCTGAAATGATTAGACTCCTGCGATAATTTGAGAAGCTACAGCTGGAATGTGCGACATCCACCTTACACTTTTTTTTTAATAGGATGTAACTTTCCCAAAGTAAGAAAGTTTTAAGTGGCAAAGATGAGACAAAACTCATGGGCTTTAGAGTTAAGCATTCATCAGTAACACGATGGCTCCTTGGCATCGCTCTCCACCTAAGTATGTGCCTTTCCTGAGTGGCCTTCCGCTTAGCAGCTCAAGTGCTGCCTTGATGCGGAGGAACTGTTTTCTAAAGGCTGAAAACATGCAAGTTTAGTCTATTGGGCTGGGGATTTAGCTCAGCGGCAAAGCGTCTGTCTGGCAAGCGCAAGGTCGTGAGTTCAGTTCCCGGTACCAGAGAAAAACTAAAAAAAAAAAAAAAGTTTAGTCTATTTACCTCACAGTCCTTGGCAGACTTCCCATTTCAGTTCACCAGGGCTATTCACCAGAAGTGGACCTATTAAGTGAAAGCTTTTTGCATAAAGCAATTTAGAGTCAATCATCTTGATTTTCTACCTGGAATCTTCATTTCCAGTTTGCTATAAACCCAACTTGTTTTTGACAAATAATCTAGTGCAAAGTAGCATGTTCAATTTAGATGATCTGTTTCCTTTTTCCATGCATTTTCATTTTACAAAACATTCATGGAACTTTGCACTATGTGCCAATATGTGCGACTTACATGAAAAGTCCTGGTATCTGTAGCTTTAAATTGAAGGTATTCTGTGAAAACGTCTCATTCATGAAATAGTTAGGGAGCTATTTTCAGTATTCTAAATCTAGTCACCACATATGAGAAAGTCACTTTAAGATGTGCATATATTATTTTCATAACTTTGAGTTCAAGTTTATATTTATACCTCTTTTGAGAGCTTGTTTGGAGGTTTCAGCAGGGGAGCACAGCTACTTGTATGCCCTTCACTGAGGAAATGGTCCTCTCCTATTGGAGGTGGTCCTCTTCCAGCACGCTGCTTTGGAGGGGACACACATGGAGTGGTGAGGGAGTCAGGGACACCTGCCTATTCAGCCAGATCAGCCAAATCAACCCTGGTGATAATGGGGTGACAGATGCTACGGCCAGATTTCCTTCACATCCTTCATCTATTTTGAACCCCAGAGGTTTACCCTAAAAAGCTAAGGAGGTTACTTATGTTCTCCATATAGCATTCTACTACACAGTGATTTCTAAATCTACTTCAGATAGTCCTGTATTTGGCTATAAGGTTGTACGCCCTCTTGTGGTGATAAATTTCATTTGAATGCAAAAGTAATAATTTAGTTCAACAAAAAGCAAACTGTTGAATAGCTAGGATTTGTGGACTCTAATCTTGCTTTCCAACACATTTTACTGGGACTGTCCGTAAGGTAAAATGACCCTGCAAATGGATTACTAAAACTTTAAGACACTGTAAATGTTCTTGATAACACAGAGTGTGCAGTGGTCAGACTGCATAGGTATATAAATGTATGCAATGTTGTATGTCTAGTCTTAGTAAAATTCGTGTGCAGAAGCGAACTACTGAAATATTGACTCATAAATTTTGTCGGTTAAGGAACAGCTCAATGACTTTTCCACACACTGTCAAAAACAAGTATTATAAGAAATCATGGGATTCTCTTAAGTTTTGAAGAGAGCCAGCTGCTCGATGTCTTTTCCTGTGACCATAAATTTATGAGTAACTTGTGTTATCAAATTTCTACTGTACTTTCACTTTGACATTTTAAAAAATAAGTTTATTTGGGCTGAAAATGCTGTGTTAGCCAGGGACTATGACAAATATCGGGAGGGTGACTGGACAGGGAACGCCCGGACAGTTCTAGCTCTTGTTTTCAGATCCTTCGCTTGCCCCATTGTTATATGTCTAAAAGCACAAGACTATTTATTTGCAAAAGACCTATGACATTCACATCCTCAAACAATATTATTATTCAGAAACACAGAAGAATAAGGTGAAGGGGAAGTAAAGACAATGGAAAAAAGAAGAAGAAGGTGCTACTCTATACTTCTTTATTAATCATATTAGGATACTTAATGACTTGATGCATTATGAACTAATGGATTGTATGTTCTCCTTGCAGAAGTCCACAAAAGGAAGACAGGATACCAATGGCAGATGAATACTATGAATACAAGCACATAAAAGCCAAACTGAGACTATTAGAGGTCCTAATCAGCAAGCAAGATGTGGCCAAAACTATTTGAGGCTTAGGAAATCACCATTATTTTCACCCAAGACAAAAATCAAACTTCTTTTCCATTGTCATTTGTGCTGAGTAGTTTTGACATACTGAAAATGGAAGCACTTTAGTGGTAGTTATTTTTTAAGAAAGGATAGCAAGTTTAATTTTATAGTGTACATGGAAGAGGGGATTAAATGGGGAAAATGCAACCAGTAACCATCTCATTGGGAGAAAAAGCAGCTTCCTCCATGCCAAGGACAAAACAGTCAATATAAGTATTTCCAAAGTCTAATACTTTGTAAATCTAATGACACATATGTGGGCCACTTGTTAGGGAAAGTTTAGTGTCCAAAGAGTATTTATGTCAATGTATGGAAAAGAGCATGATTTTTAAAAAATCAGAAAAGGAAAAGAGATTCTGCTTTTATATAGCAAGGAAAGCCTCCAATAAGAATGTAATTTATTTGAAATTTTAAATTGATTTTTAAGTGATACAACATCTACTGCCTTGTCCCTTAGGTCTGTTAGACTTTCAGTACCCTAAAATATACTAGAAGGTATCACATCTTTTTTATTTCAATATAAAAATAGCACATTATTTTATCAGTTATTTGCAGTTTTACATTTCTGGTTACCAAAGTTCACTCTGACAGCATGTACCTTGTGAATTATCTTTGTCTATAACTGACAGATGTTTATATTAAAATATTGTATTAAAATTTTAAAATAGGTATTTTGGATAGATGTGTCTTCAGTATATAATCTAATGTGACCATAGTATTATTGCTAATCTTTTTGTTTACTCTAAGAATGTATAACTATTTTTCCATCAGGAATATGCATTTTTCTTAATGTCACAAGGTCTATACTTCGTAAAGTGAAAAACCTTTATCATGAGCCGTAGTTATCCTTCGTCCTGTACAAAATGAAAGGTTTGGAGACTGTCTGCCCTGATACCTTGGGAAAGAAGTCGAAACATTTTATTTGCTTCATCAATTTTAGTATATTTTGTTTTGTGTGATTTTGTACTAAAACACATTTATTTTGTTTCTTAAAAACAAGTACAATGCTGACATTTTCTTTCATGTATGCATCATGTTTGTATCTGTATTTCCTGTAATGTTTAAGCATGATATTGAAGAAATGCACATTTTCATATAGTTTAGGTGGGAAGAATATTGATGATTTCAAAAGCAGATGAATTAGAGGCTTATTTTCTCTGTATTTACCTTATTTTATAACTTTTATGAATGAGAAAAATATCCTTCATAAATTTGTTTAATTGAAGTCATCCACTTGTAACAGGACAGATACACAACTACTTGAGGTTTACAAATTACATCTTTGATAAGGGAAATGGTTTTGTGACAAGGTATACAATTGCTATTAAAATGTAACTCCACATATTCGATATGATTGTAAATATTTTATACAACAATACAAATAAAATATTTTTCTATTATATTTATTATGTTGAAACACAGTAGTTGCTTCCTGTTAGCTAATATAAATAACATAAATAACACTGTCAAATAACAAGTTGGAAGTGCTGACAATTCTAGGCTTTAAGATTTAACTCATGCTGCAATTACACCCTTTCATGCGATTTGGAGTTATTCCAATATTTGTTCAGTAGATTAAAATGAATGCATCTTTAAACACCATTTATAAGCTGTTATTTTGTATTTTGCTAAAGCATTCTATATAATTGTCTTGTTATGTTTGGCATATAGGAAAAGTAAAAACATTGCAGCATCTAGGCAAATAAAGTGTCAGAAGGAGAACTGAGGATACTTGATCATCGAAGGCAGTGGGAAGGGTGGGGAATGGGAAACACTAGAACAGCTCTGAATGAAGTTTGAGAGGTGTGGTTTGTTTTTGGTGACAGCGCATGTGCATGCTTCAGTGGAGAACAACTGATGGCAAAAATGGACAACAGAGGACCAGTGCTCCTAAGGGAGAAGGGGCTGAGTAAGGATCAGAACAGCGGGGGTTAGCGTCCAACACTGATGTTACAGGTTTTGCAGCTGGGATCTTTCTTTGCATTTGCAGTAGACAAACTCATGAGCTGATGACCAGTGATTTCTGCCACAGTGCCCAGAGAAAGATCCACGGGGTCGGTGTAAATGACTTCTAAAATGACATCCTGGGCATGGTGGTAAACCAGAACCCCATCTTCTTCTGTACAGGTCAAAAATTTGTTATCCTTGGAATTTAGTTGAGGAAGTCGCTGCTTACAAAATTCATCTCCTGGTGATCCCACAGGGGCAATAACAAGAATCACATAATGATAAGCAGTGTACATACAGTAGAAGTCCCCAAAGTATAAGTTAGTATTGGGGTTAAAAAGTTTTTCTGCTGCAATCTCAAACCTGTATCTTCCATAAGGTGAATCCTGAGGTGGCTTCCCAGTATTGAATTCAGTGCTGCAGCTGAAGAAGATGCCTTCTAATTTTCCACTGATTGGAGAGCCGTGGCTGCCACTGTTATCCTTGACAGAAGGCTGCATAGCATTCCCATGGTGTTCTCTGCAACAGAAATTATCAAACATATTACAATAGTGGTAAACTTACTTATTTATAGACTTGAATGGTCCAAAAGCCATCCTACCCTCAAGGGGAGTGTGTCTTTTGTTATTACCTATAATGACTGAATTCTACTTTGAATTGAAGGATGCATCAACAAACTTTGAAGACCTCTAACACATAATAAATTTACTGGATGGAAAATTAAAACTACAACTAGAAATCTTACTTTTTAAAAGTATTTACTGCATTTTAGAAGTGGCTTTCCAAAAAGAAAGCTGGACTAAAATATTGCTAAATATTGGAATACTGATACCCATGTTGAATGTTTCTTTAAATATGCTAGTATCTACTCATTAAAAGAGTACTGTCTACCTGGAGAAGGTCCCATCCCACCCTGTGGGTTCATAACTTTGGTTGCTGGTGCCACAAGCTCAGGCATCTCCTGCCTTCATCCTGAGAGTCCTGAGAAAGCCCTCCTTTAGGGATGATGGCTGGTGGCACCACAACCTTTGGCATCACATTTATTTGCCCTTAATCTTTCGGGGACAGTTCTTTCCACATGCTATTCCACCAAAACAACAGAAGCTACTGTCAGAAGCCACAGCAGCACCAGAGTCCTGACTCTGTGGTTCTTGAGGATATATATAGGCTTCTTTGAAAACCTATATTCACTGCAAAGTCATACAGCTACCTTCATGCATCACTTCAGATATCAGAGAAAGAAAAATCACACAGACTACAGTTTAGAGCTACCCTATAACCAAACCCCAAACATCTACCTGAGTCCTAGATCCTATCTAAATAAAAGAAATTATACAAAAGCTACTGCATTAAACTGCAAGAGGCAAATGTGACATCAGATAGCAACCTAAGGACACAATGAATGTGAAAGGGAACAAGACACCTCTAAAGGAAAACAGTAATGCTCCAGAAATAGATCACAATTTAAAATGCCTGAAAATAAATCCAACATAAGGAACCTAAGGAAACCAAGGTGAAAGAAAGGGAGAAAGTCATTGAAAATGTATTCCATTAAATAACAGCTGACAGTTTCCCAAATTTTCAGAGATATGGACATTGAGATATAAGACGTGTGAACAACCCCAACCAGATTCAACCCAAACAGATCTTCACTAAAGCATATTAGAGTCATAATATCAAAAGTACAAGAGAGAATCCTGAAAGCAACAAGAGAAAAGCCACAAGTCACATATAAAAGAATGTCCACTAGATTTACAGTAGATTTCTCAGCAGAAAATTTACAGGCCTGGAGAAAATGGAATATTACCAGTGAACACCTCAACAAAAAAAAAGATACATCTTTATCCCTGATGAATACAGATGCAAAATTTCTCAAAAGAGCAGCAAACCAAATTCAACATTTTACTATGATCAAATACAGTTCATCCCAGAGATACAAGGATGCTTCAGTATACTCAAACCTATATGTGATATGACATATCAACAGAATAAAGGGAAAAGGCCATATGATCATTTAAACAGATGTAGAAAACCATTCAGTAAGATTAACTATCCATGATAAAAAAAAAAAAAAACAAATTAGGTATAGGAAAGAACATATCTCAAAAATACTAAAGACTATATATGAAAAGTCCACAGATAATATCACATTGACTGGAAAAAGCTGACCATTTCCTTTGAGGTTGAGAGTAAGACAAAGATACCCATTTTCAATACTCTTATTTAGTATAGTACTAGACATCGTAGCAAAATAAATTAGGCAAAAGAGAGAAATTAAGAGCATCCAAGTTGGAAAATTAGTTATATTGTCCATGTTTGAAGATGACCTGATTTTATAACATAGAAACCTAAGTACTCCATCAAAAGAGCTGTAAGCACTGAAAAACAAATAAAGGAGCAGAATAAAAAAATCAACATAAAAAAGCACAGCATTTTAATGTACCAATAATGAAATTAAAGCTGCACTGAATTAAAAGTTGAATTGAAAACAAAACTAAAGCAATCTCATTCACAATAACTACAAAATAAAATATTTACAAATAATTTTAACCAAGAAGTGAAAGATCTCTCCAATGAAAATTATAAAATACTAATGAAAGAACTTATAGAGGATACAAAAAATGGAAAGGTATCACATGTTTTGGGTCAGAGGAGTTAATAGTCAAAATGACCATACTACCCAAAACAATCTATAAATTCAAAGTAATCCCCATCAAAATACCAATGACTTTCTTCATAGAAATAAAAAATCTTAAATTCATACTGAATGACAAAAGGCCCAAAATGCCAAAGCAATCTAAGCAAACAAAGCAAACCTGGAGGTATCACAATACCTTATATCCAAGCATACTACAAACTTACAGCAACCAATGTAGCATGGTACTGGTATAAAAACAGATATGTAGACCAATAAAACAGAATACAGAACCCAGAAATGAACAAACATTCATACAACCAATCTTTAAAAAAGTTGCCAAGAATATACACTAGGGAATACAATCTCTTCAATAAAATGGTGCTGGCAAAATGGAGTACACATGCAAAAAAGGATGAACTAAGATTTGGAAATCAACTCAAAATTTATCAAAGACCTAAACGTAAACTAGGAAACTATAAAATTACAACAAGAAAATGTGGGGGACATTTCAACATACTGAGGCAAGCATTGATTTTTCATATAAAATTCAAGGCCAAAGGCAACAAAAATGGTATTATATATCAAATAAAGAAGCTCCTGAAGAGCAACAGAAATAACAATTAAGAGACAACCTACAGAATGGGAGAAAATATTTGCAAAATATTCATCAGACAAAGGCTTAGCATCTAGAATATATAAAGAACTAAAAAAGCTAAAGACAGAAAAAAACAAAACAATCTAATTAGAAAAATGGGTAAAGGTACAAGTAGTCCTCAAACACAAATGGCCAAGAAGTGCTGTATATTAAAGATGTTCACTCTCACTATCAAAGAAATGCAAATCAAAATCACCATGAAGTATCTCACTGAAATTAGAGGAGCTATTATCAAGAAGATAGTACATGCTGCAAGGATACAGAGAAAGAGGAACTCACACACTACTGATATAAATAGGAATATAAATTTGTACAGCCATCATGAAAAGCAGTAAGGAGATACCCAGAAATACTAGTATTCGTAATAGAACCCTAAGATGATCCAACAATTCCACTATCAGATATATAGCCAAAGGAGATGAAATCATTATACCAAGAAGATACTTGTATTTATGTTTATTGCAGCAACACTTGTAACAGCTAAAGTATAGAACAACCAAATGCCCATCAGTAGATGAATGGATAAAGAAGGCAGATATATGTATTTGAATATTATTCAGCCATGAAGAAACCAAAATATTGTTATTTTCAGTAAAATGGATGAAATTGGAGGGTAATACCATGTATTCTCATCCGTTTATGAAAACAAAGTCAATCTCATAAAAGAACAATGGAATAGTGGTCACTAGAGTTTGGAAAAGGAAGGTAGACGGGGAGAAGGGACAGAGAAGATTTCAGTAACTAGCACCAAACACAGAGAAGAGATTTAGTTCTGTTTTTTTCTAAAGCACAGTACGACAACTACTGATTAAAACAGCTATATTTCAAAACAATTGGAAAAGTGTGATGCTCCCAGCAGATGAACATGATTAACACCTGAGATTATCACACATTGTGTACACATATTAAATCACCAACATGTGTTCCACAAAGGTATGTAAATATGTCTCATATTTCTCAAAAAAATATGTCTCATATGTCTCAAAAAAATTTTAAGGAGATACATTACAGCTTATTTGTTATGGAGCTATCAATTGATAGGTAAAGAAATTATCCAAGTATGCACATTAAAAGCAGAACCTAACTAGCCAAACTTAAAATGAAAAGAACAAAAATGACATGAGAAATAATTACAGTTTGGTATCCTACACTAGATCCCATATTTTACTCTGTCATTCTTTCTTTTTTCTAATGTTTCAAGTTTTATTCTTATTTTGTTTCTGATTCAGTAACTTCCTTTAGCCATTCTTTTAGGGTATGTGTGCTGTGACAAATTCCTTTAGTTTTCTTTCAGCTAATTACGTCCTGGTTCCCCTTTATTCTTGAAGACAGCTTCACTGGGTAGAGTATTCTGGGGTGACAGTTCTCTGTCATCACTTGAAAATACTGTACCTTTTTGCTTGCCTCTGTGGTTTCTGATGATGTCATTTAGGAAAAATTCCATTTACATAGAAAGGTATTTTTTTCCTTTTCACTACTTTGAAGATTTTTCTCTTTTTCTTCAGTTTCCAGGAGTTTTTCCTGTGTTTTCCTGTAGATTTCCTTGGATTTACCCTATCTGGTGGATTATCAGCTTGAAATCGTAGGTCTGGTTGTTTGCGAAATTTGTGGCTTTTCCAGCCTCTTTCTGCATTCCTTGGTGACTGATGATATGGGTTTTAGACGTGCGATGGGCCCACATCTTCATGACCTTCACCACATCTTTACCTGTGTTGCTCATTGTGGATACTTTCTAGTCTACAAGTTTACTACATTTTTGTCCTCTTGATTCTGCTCTATTGAATCCATCCACTGCTTTTTTATTACACTTCCTGGGTTTTTCAGTTCTAAAATTTTTATTTTCTTCTTTATACCTTAGGTTGCTTTGCTGCTTCCATTTTTGTCTCAAGTGTGTCTGTTAGTGGTTATCGAAACACTTTTAAGTGGCTGCTTAAATATCTCTGTCAGATAATTCTAAGATGTGTTATCTTAGTGTTGATGTCTCTGATCGTTTCTAATTCAGTTTGATTTTACTGATTATTGGTATTTGTCCATTCAGCTTCCAGTAACATGATCACTGGAAGGATGTGGTGGTTTAGGTTCCCACAGGGCCTGAGCTAGTAAATGCTAGCTGGGAGAATAATGGGGAAGCCTCTCACTACCGCTCTTTCTGTGGCCTTCACTAACACTGCCGGGAGAACCCTTGCGGCTTCCGGGCAGTAGGGCTCTCTTCTCCCCGGGCTGTTGGGCTGGAATAGGATGATCACTGTCTAGGAGATTTCTGCTTCATTTTTCTAGTTGCTGTGCAAATAAAGCAAAACAACCTTCTGGTGCTTTGGGTTTGTGCCCACGTGTGTTTCTGGGCTTCCAGTTTTGCTTGCAGCTTGCCCAGGACATCGGATTACTCCAGGGAGCTCAGCCCTGCATTGCTTCTGGACTTCCAAGGTCCCTAATGGGTCATCCTCCTTTCTCTCTCCCTTCCATAGTTTTATGTTTCTTTTGTTTATAAGGTCCAGCGTTTTTAGTTGTACTTTGAGGGAAAACTAGGAAGAAGTGCATCTATTCCACTTTGCCATTGATCAAAACTTTTTCACCCTTGTCTTATTCTCATTAACAAAACCCAAATATGGATGTGTCCTACATAGATCTGTACATGCAAGGATATAGAAAACAGTATCAGCAAAAATATAAACTGGAATTTAGGCTATGAAATGTCTCCTACTATCAGTGACAAAAGGATATATTTGTCACTGATAATTTGAGGATATATATAATCTGCCACTAAAAGTACTGGAATGCCTACACATATTGACACGTATCTATCAATTTCAGTGGATTCTTAAAGAAAGAATTTTCAGATAGAAATGAGTTTTAAGGACAATTAGTCTACCCAGTAAACATGAAGAAGAGAAAGTGGTATGTTCATATAAGGTAACAGAAAGCAATATCCGTTTGGAATTCTTTTTAATGGGAAGAGATTAAAATTAGTTTATTCATTGTGAATTGAGTCCAAATTCATTTAGGATGTTTTCAAATTTATAATGATCTGTAAAATTTATTAGGCAACTGAAACTTTTCTTCATAGTTAAGTATTAAAAATGAGATTTTTAAATGGATTCTAATCAAGCAACTATGTCCAAACTAGAGTTCACTGCATAAAAAAAAATCAAGATCCACTAATGTACAGGTTTTTATAAGTGCTTAAGAGCAATGTTAAGAAAAATTGTCCCCATCCCTTAGCAAATATTTTATTTATATGCACTGCTTTATTAAAGATGTAATTTACTTGAGGTATGTCATATTTATGTACCAATTCCCCAAGCTGAACATCACTATTACTAACATGCAGTCATTTTTAAAAAAGATACAGTTTACACAGATTTTACCACTATCATTATAGAAAAAGCGACCAAAGGTAAATATCCTTCTTAGTAAACACATCTTTCATGCTAGTTCCTAGAATCTGCTCATGCCTTTTGTAAAATAGCTTTATCCATTTCACAAGGGTTTTGTTTTTATCTGTTTTTTCTTAGCTGTGCTTTTCAAGACAGATGAAGCAGACCATTGAACACCAGCTTTCCTCCGAGGGACACAGACAATCATAGAGAAATACTGCCCCCAAGTGGCCAACTCCCAACAGATACTGGCAATGCTCCAGGAGTCTAAACCAAGAACCAAAGACATAGTAATTTATCTCCCTGATGTATTCCTCAGGAAAGTAAAGACCACAGCAATAGTGGACATATTTGGTTTTCAAATTTTGTGCTTAAAAATATAAAAAAATCTTTCTTCCTGCATATAGTCATACCCAAATAACAGTTGCCAGGCTTGATACTTTTATGCTGTTTACTCTGTACTCTGTGTAATTCCTGCAACAGGTGAAGGGAATACACCAGGAATTAAAAAGATGACAGTGTAAATACTTTGTCAGTAAAGAGAATGGTGGACTAAACTTGTATTTTTTGTATTTATATTTTTTAAAAAAGAAAAAATTTTTTCAACATCAAAATATGTAAAAATATATGATATTGCAGAGTACTTCATTTAAAGAAGTCTAAATACACTTCTCTATGATTTACTTTGCATCTTTTACGTCTTGGACATAACATAAATTTTGAACCATGACATGGATTTAAGAGAAATTAAAGAAATATGAAAAAAACAGAGCTTTTTAAACTTTTTTCACATGCAGTCCTGCCAATATCAGAATTCTTTGGAGTCTAAAATGAGACTAAGATTTTAAAAATGACAATTATATGGATTTCTATATAAAAGTTTTAGAACCAATATAGCACTCATCATTTTGAAAGCCTTAGTTTCATTTTAAAACACTTATCCGCCTATTTATCATCCTAAACCTTTCTTCTATAAATATGAAAGTGGTGCAAGTATTAAAACTACCCGTGGGATAAAGTTCTTTTAACTTCTTAAGAACAGTTGCAATGGATTAAATATAGGCTATCTTTTAAAAATATCAGCCAACTATCACCAGAATTCAAAAGCAGTAACAACTGTCTTCATAAATAATTAATTGGAGATAACAGGCAAAATGATTTCTACTTAGGCAGGAACCTGTAAATCCCAATTTATTTCCCCAAATATTTCACAAAACAGTTGCCAGTTTTCTCACATTTTTAATATCTTTTTTTTTGGTACCTAGAATCAAACTCAGGACCTTGCACTTACTAGGCAGGTGCTTATACCACTGAGCTATATCCCCAGCTACATTTTTAATATCTTAAAAGGACCCATAGAAAGAGGTAAATTTAGTAGTCAATATGAGACAGAGGGCATCTGAGAGTTACTGAGACTAGAGAAATACACACAGTAAATGTATATCAATCTAAACACCAGATGTTTAACATTTATTGCAGTGAAACAGTTAATTATTATATGATTATGGAAAGGAATCTAAGTGGGAAAAATCCCATGATATGAATTTTTCTACTGATTTTTTTCTCTAGGAGAAAAAGTATAGCTATTTTGAAAAGAAATTCAGAAATGCAATTTGGCAGAACTAGACCAAAGGAATTATGACCCTTGAATTTGGAATATTTAGTAAGCAAATAACTATATATATTTTATTCTTACCGAATATAGTCAAAATATTCTTTGTGCTGGTTACGATAAAAAACAGAAAATTTAAGCATACGTCCTGCAATCACTTCAGCCTTCTCCAACAGTTGTGTTAGATGAACTTTTGAATAGTCTGAAAATTTTCAAAAAATCTGTTAGTAAAATATAGCACCAAAAGTACCAACTACATACTTAATAAATTGGCTGTTACTAAAATTCACTGTTAGGGAATGAACTTAAGTGAATAGGAAATTGGTAATAAATAAAACACACATTGTCTTTGTATTGTACATTTTTCTCTCTGTAAAAAATTTTTCTTAGGTTTTATAGTTTCTTAGAATAAACTTGCATTTTTTCACTCTTTGGAATTTAAAATATTTAAACAAATGTGTTCATTAACTCTTCATAATTCACGTAATGAAAAAACACCTTACCACCTTTTCTTCAATCAGTTGATAATTTGGATAAAAAGCTTATCCTCTGCAAGCAATAGCAAAGATAGAAAACATGCTCGTCTACTTTATTTTCTAAATATTAAAGGTTGACAAAATAGATTAAATATGCCATTATATTGATGAAGATGTTTAATCTTTTCAAAGTTTAATGATTTTGCCCAGTTTTCTTACAGCCAATAACTTCAAGAGTAGGCCTCTGGCTCTGGTTGAGTCTTTGGGTGCAAAAGGCTTCTGAAAATTTAATACAACTGTCAAAGTAATCTGATTTTTTTTTTTGCCAACTTCTTGTTTTGAAAATTGAGAATTGTTGCCAAAGTACTGCATCTGAAACTCAGGAACAATTTCGGCCTAAGAGCTTAATAGAACTCTCCAGACAGACCGACCTTGATAAAACGCTCATGGACAGCATGGTTTGTTTACCTCAGTCACTGCTTCACTGGCTTAAATAACATTTATTTGTACAATGTACCAAGCAATATGCAAAATGAGATGTTTAGATAAAAATCAAACTTCATTATTGTTCCTTTCAAAGAACTGACAGTCTAAAGGAAGAAATACACACACAGACAATAATGGTATTGTTAGAGTGAGTATTGAGTGTCATCTGTGTTATAAGCCATAATACCAGTGGATTAGTCTGTGGTACCCTATTTTATTTTATTTCATTCCCAATACCTTGTTCTTAGCTCAAAGTATAGAATCAATAAATATTACATGAATTAAATGCCCAGATTAAAAGGCAATTTATACAAAATAGCTTTCTCAAAATTTAGAGTCAAGGAGTTTGGTTCCAAGTACCGGAGAAAAACCAAAACCAAAACCAAAAAAAAAAATTTAGAGTCAAGGTTATACCTAAAGCTTAGGTAAGAAAGTCCCCATATTATTCTGACATGCTGAAACAACAACTCTCAGCAGATTAAGTTCCTCTTAGATTTTACCCATGAAAATAAAATGGCAAAATAATTTATAGAAAAATACTGTGGTATATTTAAAAGCTGACATTTTACCTTATCATTTACTCTGTTAACTTCCTTAGAATTATGGAATGTATACCTATGACAGATATTTCTGAACTGGAAATTGTAAAGCTCTTCCTTAAGCTAAAAAAGAAATAGTATATTATACTTTTCCCTAATGTCATGTGGGGGTTTAGTAGGTAAAATATAGTTCCTTGTAGTGGGCAAATACCGTGATACTACTTCATGCAGTCATAAAAAAGCTGTATGTGTTACAGGTCGCTGTGGTTTAGATCTGGAAGGTCCCCCAGAGCCTCATGTGCTCAGAAGCTGGGCTGTGGGAAGGTGATGGATCACAGAGGGGAATGTGCTGTTAAGAGGAGGCCTGGTCAGAGGAGACTCGTCACAGGGGTGTGGCCTGGAAAGGGGGTCTCCTTCCCTTCCTCTCCCCTTCTCGCTCTGCTTCCTGGCAGCCATGACCTGTCCTACTTTAAGTTGTGAGTATCCAGTATTTTGTCCCAGTAACAAGAAAGAGAGTAAGACAGAGGTTATCCAATATGCCTGAGGTCAGAAATGCTTCAGATTTCAGGGTCTTTTGGATTTTGAAATATTTGCATATACTTTGTACTCGTTGGGCATTCCCACTGCAAAAAAACAAAAAGTACTCCAAAATTCAAAAAAAATGTAATGTGTCATATCATAGCTCAAAAAAAATCTCAGACTGGGTAGGGTGGTGCACATCTGTAATCCCAGCACTCGGGAGGCTGAGGCAGGATTGTTGCGAGTTGGAGACTAGCCTGGTCTATAAAGTGAGCTCAAGGCCAGGCTGAACTGCATAGCAAGACCCTGTCTCAAAAAAGACCAAAAAAAAAAAGTTAAAAAAAGTCTCAAATTTAAAAGCATTTCAAATTTTGCATTTTCAGATTAGAGATATTCAACCTGTTATGAAATGCCAAAAGAGATTCTGTCTGCATCTTGTATAGATTAAACCTTCCTGGTAGGGTACAATGAAAAGAAATGCAGGAAAAAGAGTAAACAGGAGATAAATGTCAAAAAAGAATTACAATTCAGAAAAAACTGAGATGAAATACTAATTTCAATGACACATCAAACACAGATAAAAGTTATGTTAGTAAGACTTCTTTACTCACTGTTAACGGTATATCTTTAGCTATTTCATCACTGATTACTCAACTATGATTAATACTATATTTCATCAATTTTAGAAATGCATTTTTTCACATTTTAACATCTCTCACACTTGCCTAACAATAATGTAATAAAAATACCATTTCACAGTTTAATTTGCATTACTTTTAGTACTGATACATAAAATGATGGATTTTATAATCTATAACTGAAGATAAAGAGGCTACTACAGTACTAAAACATTGAAATCTTTACTAATTAAAGATGTTTCACTATCTAGCAACCTAATCGTAGAATAAACAAAGAGGACTGAAGATAAAATTACTATCACGTGGTGATAAAATTTATCCATTTAACATGTCCACAGAAGTTTTATACTGAGTTTGAGATTAAGAAATCTAAACATGCACTGACTCTAAAATAATGCAAGTATGAGGCTGTAGGAGAAAAACTTTATTTATCTGAAGGATGCCTCAACTGGGGAAAGTTACTAAGCAAATAGGTAAAGCAACCTGCTTTTTTAAACTTTTTTTTCTCTTTTTTGACACAGGGTTTTGCTATGCCATTCAGGCTGATCTTGAACTTTTGTAGCCCAGGCTGGCCTCAAACTCACAGCAATCCTCCTGCCTCAGCCTCCTAAATGCTGGGATTACAGGCATGCAATACCATGCCGGGCTAGCAAATTGTTTTTTAAATACTTTTTCTACAAGGTCTAGTGTGTTGAAACAGCCTCTCTCTAAATTATTTTTTTATAGGAAACAGTTATCTAGGTAAAGAGGAAGAGGCAAAGTTCCATTTTAAGAGATAAGAGGAGATGATGGCATAAATACTTAAGTATGTGCTCAATAAATGTGCACTTTTTGAATAAACAAGTACACAGACAAATGAAGGAGCTGATTAGTAATATTTTCCAAAGGAAATACTAGAATACTAAAATATTAAGGTATAGTTCATATCGCATTTCCCAATGGTAAGTGACTATTAAGCTAGTTTTAAACAAAGCAAGGACACACAGAGGTATACAATATACCAGTTTAGAGACAGATTCTCTTAAATTCTTCCAGCACTGAAGTGAAAACTCCAATAACATTTCTACTAGACATGATTACTGAGATCTGCCTTCATTTCCTGAAATTAGAGAAAGATACTATATTCTTGGCTTCCTTCCTTCAGTGTTTATGAAAATGGACAGACTGAAAGGAAAGGAAGCTCAAAATATGCTGAATATATAATTTTCAAACTTCATCAATTTTTATTTCACTTTGGAAAACAATGAAACTATGTACAACAAATGAGTGATTTGATGTCATCACTCAAGTTCTGCTATTGAAAACTTCAGTTCTCACAATTCACTACAATATTGTTTATTCTGTTACACAGGCTGATAAAGCAAAACATGACCAATGGCTATGTTCATTCACTTTTTCACTACAAAAGATATTTTTCAGTAATTAGCTTTCCATTAATAATTAACTTTTTTGTATTTGTACCTAATTCTCTTACCTGCTGTACAGAATTCTATAATCTCACTCCATTCAGATACAACATAATCACCATCAACTTGTTTTGAGGCAGTCTGAACTGCTACTGTATATTCAGTTCTTGGGCTCAAAAACCAGTGTCCACGGACAGTCATAGGCAAGGGTACAGCTTTCGCCACCAATTTTGTTGGAACATCCTAAGAATGAGAAAAGTGAGGATACAAAGAAAAAGGACAGAAAGGAAGGCAAAATAAAGGAATGGGGAAAGACAAAATCTGTAACTTTAATCAATTATAAGAAATGGAGAGGAACCTAAATCCCTGGATGACAACAGAACCTTTCTGTTTAAGAATAATTAACAATTATTATTATTATAATTAACATTTATTATTCTCCGTTTCCAAAAACTAAGGCCCAACTAGGTCAAGAGATAGGCCCGTGGTCCGACAGCCAAGCCCAATAGCATAAATGTACTCAGATTCCAATTTTCTTAATTTCTAGCATATTGGTTTTCTCTGTATATTATACGCTTCTCAAAGTGTAACATTCTCATACTAACTGACAAAATTTATGGAAATAGACATAAAAGAGATAAAATTCAATGGACTTAGTATTAAACATACTTATTTGTGTAATGAATAGAATTCAGCAATTTCACCAGCAAGCTCATTACTGAGTTTTGTGTGTGGAAGAACACTTTTAAAATAAATGAATCTGTATATATATATATATATATATATATATATATATATATATATCTTCTTTACTTTTATTCAAGCATAGAGTCTGTTTCATAGAAAAGTTTAGGTATTTCTAAATAAAATAATTAAAACTGCAGCTGAATACACACTACATATCCGATGATATGGTATTTTAAGTGTGAAGTAAGGAAAGAAGGTCAAATCTTGAACTATCTTAGCAATACCTCAGCAGTTTCCTCATGAAATGAATAAATCTAATTTAACATATGTTGAATTTTATATCTGTGTGACACTCATAATTCTACATTTTTAATATTTTTAAATAACAAGCATGGCATATCATTTTCTTCTAAAATTTATTAGCAGGATAGGGTTTTCAAACGTTTTACTTCTTTCCAATGTCAAAAAGTCGTATGTCATTAATAGAACATTATACTTTCTTTTAAAATTCCTTCATACTTAGAAACTCAAGATGCAATTAAAATACAAGTATTTGTTGGATTTTTACCTTGTGTTTAAATTTATTGGAGTTCTTGTTCTCTTTCTTGTTGAGGTCAATGAAATAGTGTGTAATACGGTCCTTTGACTTTGAATCCATTTCCCATGAAATCTTAAATGAGTCGCATGTAATATTGCTTATTTTGATGTTGTGTGGTACGGGAAGTTCTTCCATCTCTGCTATGCCACTGTCTTGTGATTTGTTACCTGCCAAGAAACAATGCACAGAAAGTTAGTTTCCAGTAAATGAGCTGTTCCAGGTTGCAAAATCTTTAGCAGTAAGTATATTTCTGAACTCAGCTATCTAATCACCAAATCTGAGATTTAATTTGTTCATGAAGTAATCTGAGCATTAATGACAGTAAAAGATGTTTATACAGTCATATTATCAATAAAAAACAGAGGTGACTTAATCTTTACCTTATCCACATTTTCAATTTGCTTTCTCAATTTCTGCTTTAGAGAGTAAAACAAAAGTACTGCTGGTTCATTGTTCTAAAGTGAGAAAGACCAGTCTCACGTGGATAGTTTCTCTGTGAACAGCCCCAAGAAATCATCTTTCCTACATGAGCATCAATTCTGCTCTTAACTGTTATTAAGTGGTTTTAAGATAGAGGACTTCATAGAAGTATTGATAATGAAGTGGTACAGTCAAATTCAAGAAATAGTCCTTTTAAAGTATACAAGGTAGCAATGACAGACTATAAAAAGTATTCTTTCTCTTTTGGAACTATTATATATAAAAACAACATGTAGTAGTTATATTATATCTACAAATAATTCTAAAGCCTATTCACATACAAGATACTCTTTTCCCTGTGGTATCTTGACAAATTTAGAGTGCCAGAATAGAAATCATTCAACATAATATTTTTGTCTCATTGTATACATGTATCCATGTGTGTTTAACTGTGTGAGTATATAATATACATGCATAACCACACAATTTTACTAGCTTTTTACTGAGACAGATTATATAACTATCAAAATCCATAGCTAAATCCCTTAAAATCTGAGATTTTTGAAATATCTATCATGAAAGCTAAATCAAAGAAAAAAGTAATTTGTAGATTACTGCCCCATTTTGATTAATTCAGAAAAGCAGTTTTACCTTGGATACAGATTAAAAGTGTCACTCAATAAACTAGATGGACTCTGGCAAAAACCATAATAGTGCGTATTTCAATTTACTAAGTATCTCTAGGATTTGAGTATATTCTTTATACCAGTGCCCCATACACCCATCAGCTTGCCATGAAGATAATGAGTAATTTTTCTTCCACCATATCTACTCCAGAGTGCAATATTAACAGAGACTAAATCTCAGTTATAGTCATAAAGAGGGTCTAAACAACTCAGTTTAAATAAAGAAGGTGTTTTAAAGTGATAGAGAAATTTAATTTTATTAATAATCCTCAAGCCAACTTTCTAAGAAATTACAGGGCTTAGGTTCACCTCCCTTAATATCCACAGTCAAGAGCAGTATTTTCATATCACATCTCTTTTCCTGCCTAAAGTTTTAGTGATAAAAACTCCAGGAAAGAACAAGTAAAGCTATATGCTTGGCCCTTTTTATTTTGAGACCATGTCTCACTAAACCAACAAGTTGCCCAAGACAGGCACAACTTGTGATCCTGTCTCAGCTAACCTGAGCGCTAGTATTAAAAGCACGTAACCACCATAACCAGTGTATACACATGTATTTTGAAATAAGTACATTTTAATAATTTCCACTACAAGTAACTTTATTATATTTTAAAATTCTTGGAAAATAAACTAAAAGTAATAAAACAAAATAATAACAACAAAAACATTCCAACCCTTTTCTACAACTCTCAGAAAAAAAAATCTTAGTGATAGCACTGAATATTGTTGAAGCATTTAGAAAAAAAACAAAGAATAAAAAAAAAACCCTTTGTAATCTATACTGATAACATTGTACCTCACTATTCTGTTAGCGCATCTCCTTTTAGGAAATGTTGATCTATAGTAAAAAGGAAATTCCAAATAGAGTTACTCCTAAGTCAGAGAGTACCAGAACAGGTCTGTTTTGTCTATCATACTATTTAATTTTCAGAGGGGATGAAGCAGAGGAGAGCGATATGGAGGACTCACAATTTTAAGTGACTTTTACAGTACTATTCCATGGGTAAATTATGTAACAGAGGTTTCTCAGTGCTGATGAAAAAATAATTCTCATTGTTAAGAAAATTTTCCTATTTTCATTTTTCTTTATTTTGGCCAGATTTTGTAGAGGGGTTAGTTTGATGTTTGATACTTTCTCAGAAATGCCATCTGACTTGAAGATATTTTAATTCAATATTATTAACAGTAAGTTTTTATTCGTCTTTTTTGTATTTTATTCTTTTAAATTTTTTTTTTCTGTTAGTACATGTTTGCAGTACATGCGGCTGACAATCATCCTGGGAGAGGTACATGTACATACCACAACTTTTCAAAAATCCCCTTCCTCAACCCTCCCCTCTCCATCCTTCCTCCTCTCATGTCCCTCTCTGATTTTTGTTCTTGCTCATGACACAGCATAGAATGTTTACATTAATCGGGGCTCTCAGGTTCCTTACATGGCACATCTTTATTCTACTTGTTTCCCCTCCCCCCTTCTGCCCCTCCCCTCGTTCCCTGGGGCCCCCTCTCTATTGCAAGAGATCCAGCACCCTTTCCTCTTCTATCCTCCCTTTATTATTCTCTTTATACTTCGCTTTGCTCAAATGAAAGATACCATACAGGGTTTAAGCTTGTGTATCTGATTTATTGCCCTCAACATTATATTTTCCTACAAATGTTTCAAATATTTCACTCTCTATAGCCAAGCAGTATTCCATTATATATACATAATATATTTTTTAGGCATATTTTTTTGAGACAGGTCTATGTTGGCCTCACATTCATCTTCCTTCTGGCTCAGCCTCTAAGATTACAGACATGCACCACTACGATAACCTTTTTTTTTGTTTTGTTTTGTCGATCTGTATATTTTCTTGCAACATTCTTGAGATTATATGGCTTATCATATTATGGGCAGGAGTAACAGTAGAGGTACTAATTATATGCCTATAGAATTATACACTCTCAGTAGTCAATACTTTTATCTTTTTATTCAGCAGACTAGTAAAATTTCAAACACAAAAAAGCAATTATTTTGATTCTATGAAGAACAAATAGTCATATTCTTTTGCAGTCACAATAATAATGCAGTTAAAGAAATTATATATTAACATTAAATGTAGAGATAAACTCAGAATAGAAGATAGTCCTTTAAAATTGAATACTTTTAGCTTTTGAAGAAATAAATATATATTCTCTACTTGTCTCATTTAACAGAGGGCTGATGAAAACTTTTCTATGGCTTGACAGTAGTCTTAAGGGCTGATATTTTAAATCTTTGGATACGTTCAATTGTCCTTCTTTAAAGATAAACTAAGATTCAGGGAGACTAAAAGATGTGACTAGTCAAAGACCAGGTAATCAAAAGTAAAGAATGCAAACCTCTTCCTTTCTCTCCAAGTCCATGGGCTTTTTCATTATGTCATTTTCTCTCCCAGTTTACTTTTGTACTGGGTTTCTATTTTGAATACTGTATTATAGGGGATGATCAGGACAGTATGAGGAAGGAGGCCAGTGGTAAAGACCAACTAAATTTACAGTTTGGGTGTTTCACAAGATGTTCAAGCCTAAAATGCATCACTGTCCTTAATATTCATGGCACCTTAATGGTTATTATAATCAAACTGTATAATTTCACATGGTAATGTTTCAGTTAATTCATTAATTTGTAAAGTCTGAAATTAAATGGAATGGATTTCCAATAAAAAATGTATCAATCTATATCTGCTGATTTTGTACCTCAGCATTCATATAGGGGCATCTATTAAGATCTGGAAAGTTTTTGAAGCCCACATATTTAGGTAAGATGTTATTAACATATAAATTGTCAAACTGTAAAGCATCACCAATCTATATCAAAAAATTTCATCAATTAAGTTAAAAATCTTAAGTAAATCAACTCAATATCAGTGCACCCTTTGTAAAATAAACTAAAATTTTGTATGTTACTGTATTCAGTTTATTTTTAAAATTTTATTGTTCCTCTACATTATTTAGTGTTTCTCCATCACTTAAATATGTGAATGTGTGTGAATAAACATTTAAGGCCATTACAATCTGGATATCCAACTTTGCAAATCAAAAGCAGCTGGAATCTGTGGCTAAATATTTTAAGTGCTGAAATAGAAAATAAATGTGGGACTGGGGCATAATAAAAGGAAAAGATTGTGCTATTCTACAAGAGAGGTAGAAAGATTCCTACATATTGAGACAGCACTCAAAAGGGGGCAAAGAAGAGATGTTATCAGAAGAGACACACATAAACGGAAGGGCTGATTTAAGAAGGGAAATGTGAACCAGGATGAAGTTAAGGAACAAATGTAGGGCTGGAGATTTAGCTCAGCGGCACAGTGCCTGCCTGGCAAGTGTGAGGTTGTGAGTTTGATTTCCTGTACAGGGAAAAAAAAAAGAGGAAAAAATGTAATGAAACTCACGGCGGTTCTCAGAGCTAAGGCAACAAAAGGGCAGAGCAAAATTTTAAGTTTCATTTTACAGTAAGATAAACTGCATTTGTTTTTAAACCTCTGATTATTTATGACATTATACTAACATCTAAAATAGTCTCCTATCTCGGCAGCTGTATCCCATATATAAGTACATAACTATTAATCATGAAGTGGCTAAGAATGTGCCTACTAGTCAGACAGGGATTTGAATTCTAGCTCTGCCACATAGAGTTGTCTGACCTTGAGTAAATACTGTATTACTCTAACCATATCATTCTTCACAGGGTCAAAGAGAATAAAATGAGGTAATGCAAACATATAAACCATATCTGCCATATGACACATAATAAATGATAGCTGATATAACATTATATTGATATAAAAGGCAATTTTTATTTCACTCTCTCCTTTGTTCTAAAATTAACGCACAACTTTTCTAATTAACTCCAAAATGCCAGTGCTTCAGTAATCTTTAATGATTGTCTTGAAATTCCAATTTGCTGAAGTGTCCATATACATCCAAGTTTTTCAGTAATCCGTAAGAGATTATACTTTCCAAATTTTGACTTTCTAATTGAGTATAAACAATCTTTAACTTTAATCTCAGAGTTATAACATGCTTTCTCATTTTTAATT